AAAAAAAAAAAAAAAAAAAATCATGGCATAACAAGTCCCACAGGACCCACACTCTGAGTCCTTCCTCAGTTGTGAATTCTTCTCCCATATCCATTCTTCCTCCCACCCCCACTCCTCCATTCCTTCTCTCCTGCCTCTATGTCCAAGAAACACCTGCTCATCTTGAAAAGAACAAGGGTGTGCCGGGTGTGGTGGCTCACGTCTATAATTCCAGCACTTTGGGAGGCCAAGGTGAGAAGATTGCCTGAACCCACAGGTTCAAGACCAGACTGGATAACTTGGTGAGACCCCCCCCCATATCTACAACAAATCAAAAAATTAGCCGGGCATGATGGCATGTGCCTACAGTTCCAGCTACTTGGAAGGCTGAGGTGGAAGGATCACCTGAGCCCAGCAGGTGGAGGCTGCGGTTGCTGGGAGTGTGCTACTGTCCTCTAGCCTGGGTGACAGAGTGAAACTCCAACTCAAAAAAAAGAACAAGGGTATCCAAGTAGAATTGGCCACATACGTCTTGTGCCCCTTTATCCTGACATTACCTAGAACTGTGACATTCATGAATTTACAGCTCCTTGAGAGCAAGGATCGTATTTCATCTGCCTCTGTATCCACAGACTCCAGGACATGGAAAGTGCTCAGTAAATGTTGGCTGATTAAATAAATACATAAGTAAAATAGAATAAACCCTTACTGGAGATACAAAGAGGCTATAGCTATGGATAGTCTACCCAGGGTTCAAACCTGGGGCCTTTACTAAGGAAAGAGAATTGACCCAGGATGCACACCTTTACAATGCCAGGTGTACTGTACTGGGCTTTTAAAAGCATGCCCTTGGGCTGGCACAGTGGCTCACGCCTATAATCCCAGCACTTTGGGAGGCCGAGGGAAGAGGACTGCCTGAGCCCACGGGTTCAAGACCAGTCTGGGCAACTTGATGAGACCTTATCGCTAAAATAAATCAAAAAAATTAGCTAGGCGTGGCAGCGTGTGCCTGTAGTTCCAGCAACTTGGAAGGCTGAGGCAGAAGGATCGCCTGAGCCCAGCAGGTTGAGGCTGTGGTGGCCGTGAGTGTGTAACTTCCCTCCAGCCTGGGCGAAAAAGTGAGACTCCTACTCTAAATAATAAATAAGTAAATGAATAAATAAAAACAAAAACACACCTTTGATTCTAAGTCCTCACCACAATCTCATTCTATGGATGATGACACACAAAGACTCAGGGAGGGCAAGAAACTTGTCCAAAGACACAAGTTAATTAGACGGCAGAGGTAGGATTCAAACCCAGGTCTTCCTGGCTCCATAGCCTGTGCTCTTTTTTTTCTTTTTGAGTTGGAGTCTCACTCTGTCACCCAGACCGGAGTGCAGTGGCCACTCCCGGCCACCGCAGCCTCGACCTGCTGGGCTCCAGTGATCCTTCCGCCTCAGCCTTCCAAGTAGCTGGAACTACAGGAGCACGCTGCCACGCCTGGCTCATTTTGATTTTATTGTAGAGATGAGGTCTCGCCCAGGCGGGTCTCGAACCCGCGGGATCAGGCAATCCACTCACCTCAGGCTCCCAAAGGCGCGGGATTACAGGCTGAGCCACCGAGCCCAGCCTGTGCTCTTTTAACCCTTGTCTACTTACTGATGACTGGGGACACACACATGTAAACAAAGGGTCATTCCACATGTCATGAGGTTCACAGCCAAACCTTAAAGTCACATTCAGCTAGCTCCCTATCCAAAACCTGTTCTAGCTGTCACCTCCTACTACACCTGCTTTTCTATTCCAACACTGTCGATTCTTTCCTCTGCTTTTACTCAATCCTGACTCCACAGTCTCCCTTATCATGCATGGGTGCCCCGGTCAGGCTCAGGATTCAAACTCTGCTGTTTGACTCCAATGGCCTTGCTCTTTTCAGAGTCACCGTGAAAGAGGCACATATGCAGGATCACAGCCTGTTTATTTTCTACTAACCTCCCCACCCTCACCAACGAACCCTGACAGCTGATGGAGCTCTGTGAAGATAAAGAGGGGAGAAAGGACAAAGGGGGAGAGGACTGAGTAACTCTTCAGAGCTGGGACCAGCAATCTGCTCTTTAGTTCTAGAGGACAAGAGAGCTCTGAATGAAGCAGCAGTCCACAGCTCCTGCAGCAGGAGTGATTGAGACACAGAAGGGACTTCATGATGAATGAGAAGGGTGGTTGCATGAAAGGAAGTGGGAGGACTGTGGTCTCTCTCGGTGGGGCATTCATGGAAGCGCAGAGGCCTAACTCAAAACTCACAGATGATGCTCATTTGTACAGAATCCTCCCCGTCCTGCGGGGGCTGAGGAGCTCCCCCCGCCCTGGAGGCACAGGGTGTGGGCACCAGGGCAGCCGGATGAGGGAGGGAGGGAAGGAAGGAGGAGAGGGAGGAACCAAGGAAGGGAAGGGATAGAAGAGGGAGTCCGGGAGGGGCAGTGCGCACGCGTCTCCTTGGAAAGCCCCCCCCGTGGGCCCCGCCCCATCTGGAGGCGATTGTGATGTCACTCGTGAAACTCCTAGATTCCTTCCCGCCCTCAGGGTGATGGGACTGCCCGCCCAGCCTCGTCGCCTGATGGGCGCTGGACTATGGGCTCCAGCCAAACCCGGCGTCTCGTGTGCAGAAGCTAGAACCCAAAGAGGCGCCTTCCAGCCCGGTACCAAGAGCTCCAGCTCCGCCTCCAGACACACGGCCCCAGCCGAACCCGCAGGCGCCCCTCCTCAATCATTGGCCCACGGCTCGACGTGAGCCCGCCCCCAGGCCCTATCTCCGCCCAGCCCAGCCTTGGCCCCGCCTCCCTCGCCGGGGTCCCGGCCTCGTTCCACAGTCTCCGGGTCCTCACGCGCGACCCGTGCACGCGCCCGTCTTCCGCCCCGCCCTCCTCACCGCTGCCGCCGCTCTCGTCCCAGACGTCGGCCTCGCGCGCGGTCTCTTCCTCCGTCCACCTCTCGATCGTTAGTGTCGTCCTGACCCACATCGCCCTCTGCTCACTTCTTCGTCCCCACAGGGCTCTTCCGCGAAGTCGAATCCCGAACCTCAGCCCGGTCGAGCCCTCGGCGCAGTCGTAAATTCCAGTCTCGGCGTCGCCCCGGTCTAGTCCCCTAACCCCGCCTCATGCTTGCCCCGTGCCCCCGCCCGCCTCCTCCCTCCCCGCTCTAGGCCGCGTAGTCTTCCCGCCCGGGTTTCAGCGTCAGCGGCGCTCTTCATCCGGGGTCTCCAGCCCCGCTCGGGCCCCGCTGCCCTGCCTCGAACCCAGCACTTCCCTTTGTCTCAGCCCTCAACCGTCCAGGTCCGGCCCTCAGTCCCACCCATCCCGCGTTCGAACTGCTTAGCCCGGAGCCGAGAGTTGAGCCCCCGCCCCTGGATCGCAGCCCCAGTTCTCCGGCCTACGCCTGGCCACGCCTCAGCCCCATTCTGAGCCCCGCCCCAGACATTCTCTAAACCGCGCACTTCGGACGGCTCCCCGCCCCTCCCAACCCTTCGGATCCCGGTCGCGGCCCTCAGCTCCCCCCGTGCCCGCTGGGGAGCGACTACCTCCCAGCACCCCTATGGGCCCCCCGCCATCCCTGCTGCGCCGAGCTCCCTCCAGCCCAGCCGGGAAACCGGCTCTCCTCTCCGCCCACATTTCCTCTACGGGGCACCCAAGACCAAGTCCCGGATGCGGACAGATGTGGCCCCGGGCCCACCAAGCACAGCCACCCTTGCGCACCCCCGAGACCCTATAGGGTACCCTGTCCTAGAGACAATACTGCCCAATAGAGTCCATTTGTATCTACCTACATAGACTTGTCTGTACAGGGAGCAGGGCAGGCTGCATTCATAGGAACATTATCCAGGTAAATACGCTCCTCAAACATATACACTCTGCAGCTGGGCGCGGTGGCGCACGCCTGTAATCCCAGCCCTTTGAGAGATAGAGGCGAGAAGACTTGGCGAGACCTCTTCTCTACAATAAATCAAAAAACAAGCCTGGCGTGGTAGTTTGTGCGTGCCTGTGGTTCCAGCTACTTGGAAGGCTGAGGCGGAAGGATCACCTGAACCCAGCAGGTCAAGGCTGTGGTGGCCGTGAGTGTGTCACTGCACTCCAGCCTGGGCGACAGAGTGAGACTCCAACTCAAAAAAAAAAGTAAGAAAGAAAAAACACTGCACATGCATATAGCGCACAGAAATTTACTCACCACACACAGACTAACACAATATGCCCATGCCCCTTACACATCGCACAGAAACAGTACACCCCACACTTCATGCAGCACAAACACTCCACACCAGGACTTCAGGCTTCACACATACACATTGTGCTAACGGGCTCTGTGCAAGGCAAGGGTGGAGTGCAGTGTTGTGAGGGAACGGAGACCAGAAAAACAACGACAGGAGAGTGTGAAAAAATTAGAGCTACATCACCGAAATTCCACTCATCACACTCAATTTCTCTTGGCACCAACTCCCAAAGCCAAGACCTCTGGGAGGGAAAAGGATGGTGTTTAAACCTTGTTCTTTTGCAGTCATTAGGGGTCCCTTCTGTTGCTGCTGCTCTACCATCCTAACCTTCATTTTCATGCAGATCCAAGTCCTACCCAGATCCTCCTGCACATGGTAGCACCAGAGAGTCTAGGAACCACAGAGGAGAAGGGGGGTATGCAGGAAAACCAGCCTTCCTCGATGGTGTACCTGGGTGAGAATGGAACTGGGCATAGACTGGAAAGAGCACTTGCTGAAAGCCAGGATCTGTGTTCTAATCTGGACCCTCCAAGGCCTCCCAGGATGACACGAGGCCACATGTGTCCTCCTTTGTTGGCACAGATGTCTGAGGTACTTCCAGCTGCTCTAGAACTCTGGGTCAGATGTCAACAGGGAGCCAGAGTCTTGGTCACTCTTCCTCATATAAAAGTTAATAGTTGCTGGTCAGGCGCCTTGGCTCATGCACTTAATTTTTGTTTTGTTTGGTTTGGTTTTTTGAGTTGGAGTCTCACTCTGTCGTCTAGACTGGAGTGCAGTGGCCACTCCCGGCCACCGCAGCCTTGACCGGCTAGGCTCCGGCGATCCTTCCGCCTCAGCCTTCCAAGTAGCAGAAATTACAGGCATGCGCTACCACACCCGGCTGATTTTCTGATTTATTGTAGAGATGAGGTCTCGCTGCCCAGGTGGGTCTTGAACCCACAGACTCTGGCAATCCACTCACCTCAGCCTCCCAAAGCACGGGATTACAGGCTGAGTCACCGAGCCCAGCTGGCTCATGCACTTTAGGAGGCGGAGGTAGGATTATTTGAGCCCAGAAGTTGGAGACCAGTCTAGGCAATATAGCAAGACCTCATTTCTACAAAAAATTTAAGTAGTTGGGCATGGTGGAACGCACCTGTAGTCCCAGCTACTGAGGCGGAAGGATCCCTTCAGCCTAGGAGTTCGAGGCTGTGGTGAGCCATGATTGTGCCATTGCACTCCAGCCTGGGTGACAGAGTGAGACCCCACCTAAATTTAAAAAAAAAAGTTGGGTACCTCCATAATAAACATTGTTATACCTAACCCTGAATTGTACCCCACGTCTTTAAAATTAAAAAAATTAAAAGTTAAAAAATAAAATAAGCCGGACTTGGTGGCTCAGCCTGTAATCCTGCACCTTTAGGAGGCTGAGGTGAGTGGATTGCCTGAGCCCGTGGGTTCGAGACTCACCTGGGCAACTTGGCGAGACCTCATCTCCACAATAAATAAAAAATGAGCCGGGCGTGGTAGTGCATGCCTGTAGTTCCAGCTACTTGGAATGCTGAGGCGGAAGGATCGCCGGAGCCCAGCAGGTTGCACTCCGGTCTGGGTGACAGAGTGAGACTCCAACTCAAAAAAATAAAAAAATGAAATAAATAAATAAATAAATAAATAAATAAATAAAATTAAAAGTTTGGATTAAAAAAGTTAATAGTTATGATAGCTAAGGTTTTTGAGCTCTTCCTGTGTGTGTTATCTTATTTCACTCATGCAACCTCATGAATTTAGTATTATCAGCCCCATTTTGCAGATGAGGAAATTGAGGCAGAGAGGATAAGTGACTAGCCTGAGCTCTCATCATTAGTAAGGATTGACGGCAAGGATTCAAATGCAAATCCTCCTGACTGAAAGTACATCTTCTGAAAGAGAGCCAGCCAGAGTCCCTACCCTCCATGGGCCATCTGGTCAACCCCAAAAGCATCCAAAACTCAACCAGTTCTCACTGTTTCCCTCAGAGAAGCATTTTTAAAAGAAAAGGCAGAAAACGAGTGAAAAAAGGAAGGAGATTCTCCAGTGGTGGTAATTTGGGTAGAAGCACCAAGGAAGAGGATACATCTAGGGGAAAGAACCAGATGAAAAGGTTCTCAAAGTCAGCCATTCAGACCTCACCCATGAAGGTCCAGTGCAGCCCCCAAACCCAGTCTCTGAGCTCCCAGCCTACCTGAGCCTGACCAGAGGCCAAAGATAGCTAGAATCCCCACAGTGGTCTCCAGTCCCAAGATGGCCACACAGCCCACTCGACATCCCTCACCCCCAACAAAGGACTCTAGCTCCCAAGGTGCTAATAACAAAGAGATTTTAATGCAGTAGGCACAGTGTGAGGCTGGAATCATTAGGCATCTCATACCCAAAGAGTCCAGCAAACTGAGCAAAAGCAGCAGAAACACCCCCCCGCCGCCACCGCTGGGCACCCTGGAGAGCCCCTAAAGGAAATAGGGGCATGCAGTCTTTGGCATGGTGCTTGGGGCAGGAAGTGACTAGCATGGTCCCAGCAACCCCTCTGGGGATACTGCCACCAAGAGGCAGCTCTTTGGTCTAGGTAAACGGTCAGTGCAAATGTCCAGGGGTCAAGCTCTGGGAGAATCAAGATGGCACAGTGCCCCAGGTCTGGGCAGTCTCTGAACAGTTTCCTCATCCCTTATGGGCAACAAACAGGCTTCTTCTTGCTGGCAGTTTGGTAGAGATTGCTGTCATCACTGTTGATGCCTGGGAAGGAAGAAATGTGTGTGAAGCAGGTACTGGAGGTTCCCCTTGTTCTCTGCCACCCTCAACCAAGCAGGCACTCACGGACGACATCCCCAATGTGCCGGGCCCCTGATTTCTCCAGCTCAGCCAGCACGTTGGCCTCAAAGGTCAGTGCCGCCACACGGAAGAAGAATTCCCGGACGTTCTCACCTGACACAGGGAGCAGATAGGTATTCAGCAGCAGTGCCAAGCCTGGGAGCACTGGGCACAGCTAGAGGTAAGAGGAGAGGCAGGCGGGAGGACACAGCAGAGGCCTGAAGCCTCGACTTACTAGTGAGAGATGAGACTGCCCAATACTCAGCCTTAATCTCCTGGGCCACCTTGAGGGCATCCTTCTCCATGAGCGCATACTGAGCAGGAGTCTGAGGGAAGGTCAGAATCAGATGTGGGCATCCCCTCACCAAGTTGGGAAGTCCCCCCACAGGCACACTTACACTCAGGTCCTTCTTGGAACCCACAAGGAAGAGAAGCACGCTGGAAGGGTCGTTCTCTTTGAGGGCATCAGCTAGCCATTGCCTGCCACAGATGGTAGAAAGTGAAGCAGGGATGAATGAGCCTGACGGCCCCTCCCACTAATACTGCCCATAGACTCAATTACCCCCTCTCTGGTCCTAAAGGCATTCCTCTTCTTCCCCGCCCCGCCCCGCCTTTTCTGAACCCTCTCTCCCAGAGTCTCCCGGTATACGGCAGCATCCCTTACTTGGTATGTTCCAGGGATGCCACATCATTCAGGTTGAAGACAATGATGATGGCTGGAAGAGTGGCAGAAATAGCCTCAGGTTACCAGGGAAGACGCTACTGGCTCATTTCCCCAACATCTCCAGCTCTGGGGTAGAGGCCAGGCACACTTGCAGACCCATGACCCCACTTCACCCAGCCCCTCACCTTGAGCTCCTCGGTAGTAGGTGGACGCAATGCATTTGAACCTCTCCTGTCCTGCCGTATCCCAACTAGGAGGAAGGAACAGATACGTGGGAGGATGGGGTGTAGGTGCTGGGGGAAGGGGTAGCTGGAAGGGATGGAGGACGCACTCACAGCTGCAAACTGAAGGGGACGCCAAGCACCTCAAACCGTTCCATCTCAAAGTCCACTCCGATGGTGGCCTTGTAATTCTTATCAAAGGTGTCTTTGCAGAACCTGAGGGGCACCAGGTGCTCTGATGTGGAGGCCAGAGGAGGCCAGCCCACTGCGCTGGGTGTGGCCCCACCCAGTCCAGTCAGCTCCAGCACCCCCTTACCTATTGATGAGGCAAGTCTTCCCCACCGACAGGTCCCCCACCACAATGACTTTGGAGATCTTAAATCTGCTGGACACAAAAGTGAGAAGGGCAGTGAGTATCAGCTCTTTCACCCTAGGAAGTTTTTTTGTTTTTTTTTTTTCACTTTGAGTCAGAGTCTTACTCTGCCGCCCAGGCTGGAGTGCAGTGGCACGCTCACAGCCACTGCAGCCTCAACCTGCTGGGCTCAGGCGATCCTTCCACCTCAACCTTCCAAGCAGCTGGAACCACAGACATGTGCCACCATGCCCGGCTAATTTTTTGATTTATTGTAGAGATGAAGTCTCGCCATGTTGCTCAGGCTGGTCTTGAACCCCTGAGCTCAGGTAATCCTCTCACCTCTGCCTCCCAAAGTGCTGGGATTACAGGCGTGAGCCACAGCGTCCAGCACCCTAGGGAGTTCTAATTCTCTCTGCCAGGCCCACAAAGGTAGCTACACTTGCGCTGAGGTTACCATAGACACCAGGCTTCCAAGACAGCTGCCTGGACAGATGTGCTAGGAAGAAGGAGTGTGTTGTCCTTCTGCATCAAGAGACATGAATTTGAATCCCAACCCTTACACTTATTGGCTGTGTGACTTTGGACAAGTTACTTAGCCTCTCTGAGTCTCAGTTTCAACACGTGTTAAGTAGAAATTTAGTATAGATTTTATTGACTTGTTGTGATGGTTGCGATTAAACAATGTCCTATATTCTAAGATAGCCCATTTTAGCATATCTGAAACCACAGAGGGGGCACCAGGTGTATCTTAAAGTGATGGTGTTTTCCATTCAACAAAGACAATGAGAGTCTCCTACATGCTGCCTGGCACACAGAAAATGCTTGTTAATGATGGTAACTGTTACCAGTATTACTTTTTTTTTTTTTTTGAGTCGCTGTCTCATTCTGTTTCCCAGGCTAGAGTGCAGTGGTATGCTCATGGCTACTACAGTCTCGAGCTGCGGGGCTCAGGCGAACCTTCCGCCTCAGCCTTCCAAGTAGCAGGAACTACAGGTGTGTGGCACCACGCCAGCCTAATTTTTCTTGATTTATTGTAGAGACGATGTCTCCCCAAACTTGCCCGGGCTGGTCTCGAACCCCTGGACTCAGGCAATCCAGCCTGGGCGACAGAGTGAGACTGACTCAAAAAAAAAAAAAAAAAAAAGTGGGGTGGGGGAATAACTATATAGCTGAAAGGGCCTGAAGGGGAGCCCCCAAGTGGTTGTTTCCTGGGACCTCCTTTCTTCGTTATGGGTGTCCCTGACTCACCCCACGGTGCCTGTCCGGTGTTCCTGGCAGGCGGAGGTGACGCGAGGGTGGAAGTCTTTGTGCACGTGCAAAGCGGCCTCCTTCCTCAAGCACTGGAAGGGAAGGAGAGATGGGAGAGACTGGGGCTCACCCCCTCCTGGCCCCCGTCCAGCAGCCAAGGGGCCCGAGCGGGAGCGGGGTGGCGGACCACCCAGAAGCAGCAGGCCGCGCTGGGTGGCGAGGCTGGGTCCAGTCCTCTAACTGGCCTGGTGCCGCCTCCTCCCCGCCCACAGCCCGCCGCCGCCAGAAGCCCGACGTGGCCCTGGCGCCTACCTGGGGCAGCTCCGCCAGGACGCGGTCCCTCCGCACGGGCGCCAGAATGTTCATCTTGCCTGCGGCCTTGGGGGGCGCCCCGAGAAGTCGCCGAGGCCTGACCTGCCCCAGCGACGCGGGCCCGTGGAGACCCGACGATCACCCGCGGCCGGGGTGCCCCGACTACAACTCGGGGCCACGGGGAGCCTACCGGAGCCCTCGGTCTCGAAGATCCTACGACCACCGCAGGCCACGGAGATGAGACAATCACCTGGGGCCGGGGCGAGCCTACAATCACCCGGGCCCGGGGCGTCCCGAAGACCACTCGGGGGCGAGGAGACCCCTCGGCCGCCAGTCGGGGGCGGGGAGTGCCGTCTGCGGGGGCCCGGGCCCGCGCAGCCCCTACAATAACGCGGGGACGGACCGTTCCCACGATAACCCGAGGCCGCGGAGACCCGACGTCACCTCGGGGCTGAGGCTGCCGGACCATAACAGAGCGGCCCGGGGCGCGGAGCGGCCCCGCCACACGGGGTCAGTGTGGGCCGGGGCGGCGTTGCCAAGGCCCGCAGGCCGCTAGAGGAGAGGGCAAGGGGCCGGGTCGGGCTGCCGGCCCTGCGTCCCACTTCGCTCGGGCTCCGCGAACGCTGTAACACGATCCCCGGAAATTCCTGGAGAAGGGCCGCCCCCCGCCCCTCTCCCGGGAGCTTCTGGACTCGCAGCCCGCCCTCGCCTCCCCTCCTCCCCTCCCCACTTTCGCTGCCCGGGCTCAGGCTCCCCCGCCAGACGCCTTCCCCAGCACCGGGACCGCCCCCACCCAGGCTGGCGCCTATCCAGATCGGGATCCCCAAGGTTGCTCTCCCCCGCACTGCGGTGCCGGGCGGCGCCTTCATGGGGACCCTTACCCACTCGAACTGGTGATGGGGAATCGGTGATTGCTGCGCAGCATCTGGCGAGGCCAGGAGCCCGCGGGGAGGGGAAAGGGGGAGAGAAGGGGCCCAAGGAGAGGCGGCGCTTCCCTCCTCGACTCCAGGCCCGGGACGTGACTCATAGAGTCTGCCCCCGCTTGCCCTTCTGCCCTGGGAGGTGAGGGTGGGGGGAGCGCGTAAAGAAGGTGCTAGGGTTGGAGTGGGGTGCCCACCAGGAGACGGATGTCCGAGGTCTAGTGTCTCTTCTTCCTCCGAGGCTGCAGTGCAAACTGGGAGGTGGGAGGGCTGAAGACCAAGCTGCTTCTCTCGGTGCAGAATAAAGAATGGGATTCTAGGTGGACACCGAAACTCCGCTCCTTAGGGTGGTCACCGCTGGGACACGAGGGCTCCTCTCTGACCTGGGCGTTCATCGCTCTTGCCCCATTGCGATCTTCTCTCACTTTTCCTTCCTGGGTGGAAGAGGAGGTGGCGCACAACCAATTTCATCGTCAAAGGGGACATTTCCATTTCTATGAGGGGAGGGGGAAGGCAGAAAGGAGTGGGGATGGGTAGGCATAGGCCTTCACAGAAAAGCAAACCTGAGCACTATGAAACCTTACTCTGTGCCAGGAGCTGAATTTGAAGCCGCGACGATGACTGGCACACGGAAGGGAAGACTAGTTCGGGAAGGGAACTGTGAGTGAAAATATTCACAGGAAGAACTGGCAAATCCTGAATAAAGTCTGTGCGCTGGGTTTTGGATTTTTTGTTTTTTTTTTTTAATTAAGACAAAGTCTCGCTATGTTGCCCAGGCCGGTCTCAAACTGCTGGTTTCAAGTGATCCTCCCGCCTCGCCCTCCCAAAGTGCTGGTGTTTTAGGTGTGAGTCGACGCACCCGGCCGGTTTGGGAATTTTGATAGAACTTTAAAAGTATCATAAGGAAAACTGACAGTATCCCAAGGAAAGATGGGCAGATCTGGCCGCCTTGCACTTTTTATGATACTTTTCCCCCTCCTGACGCGATTTTTTCTGCCACCAAGTCACTGTTATTGATAAACCACATTCCTCTCTGGACCTCAACTTCCATAGGTGTTGTCTGGAGCAGCTAGACCGGCCAAGTCCTGCTTTAACGCTCTGGAACTTAATTGTACCTAACTCGCCGAGGCCATCTAAATGTTTTTCTGGTTGGTAGTTACAGTCTCCTGGCACGGCAATCCTCTTCCCAGAGACTAGAAGTTGCTCAAGATGGCAAGCTCCCAGCACCAGACCCGAGCTGCAGCCGGCTACACCATCCATAGGCCTGAGCACATAAACGCGTGTCTTCAAAACACTACAACTCCCAAGAAGTTTAGTACCTTTGAGGGGCGGGGTGGTGCATGCTCAGTCCCTCTCGAAAAATAAATGAAACCTAACTACCGTTCCCAGTGGGCACCACGCTGCAGATCATCCAATCAGCGCTAAGTAGAGAGCATCGCGAGACCCCGGTGAGATTTGGCGCTATAAGCCCGTGGGAACAGCCCTCGGAGACCCTTTTCACAAGATGGCGCCGAAGGCCAAGAAGGAAGGTGTGCGTTGGGAATGGGACGGCGGCCACAGCCGGTTTGCCTGGGATTTCCGGAGAGCGAACAAATGGGGAAGACGGCGGCCGGGCTAAGCCCTACGGGTTCCGCCCCGAGGCTGCTGTCCGCGTCTGGGACACGTTGCGGCATATGTGGGCCCGTGGGCCCCGCCGCATGGGCGGGCTCCAATGAAGGGAATCGGGGGGGCAGCCCGGCCGGCATCCCCCGTCAGGGAGAGCCAGAGAGTGGGTTCTGGGAAGCAACACGCATCCCCAGACTGGCGCTCCATGTCCCCAGGCCTGTAAGGAATTAGCACCTCAGCTTTACTCATTTTTTTCTGTTTCATGTTCAACGTGGCTGTCTACAACCTCCTCCACCGTGGTTTTGCGATGGTTTGCCTAAAGCTCCTGGCACACGTCCTGGTAAGCATCAACCGTCCGTTCAGTACTAGTTTTCTTCGTATCCTTGGAGTTACTCCAAACTGGTTACCTTCCCCCCAGGTGTCGTGCATATGATGGAAAAATCTTAGTCTCCTGAGACTTGTGATGTCTTCAAAGGAACCACTGATGCACGTGTAGCCAGGGTCCCCCACGACTGGTCATTAAGGCCGGAAGTGACCGATTTCTGAGTCCAGCACCCTCGTTTTCTTTATTTCTCTCTCAGCTCCTGCCCCTCCTAAAGCCGAAGCCAAAGCAAAGGCATTGAAGGCCAAGAAAGCAGTGCTGAAAGGCGTCCACAGCCACAAGAAAAAGAAGATCCGCACGTCACCCACTTTCCGGAGGCCCAAGACTCTGCGGCTCCGGAGGCAGCCCAAATATCCTCGGAAGAGCGCTCCCAGGAGAAACAAGTCAGTACTGCCCAAGTGCTCAGAAAAAAGTGTTTCCGAGTTGGCAATTTGAAATTTTATTCACCTATCCTATATATGTATGTATATGTGTTTATATACACATACACACATAGCGGCTTCTCAAGCACACATCGATACTCATTGTGCCTCTCTAATGGGAGTATGAAGAGGTTGTTTCTGCCCTACTTAAGAACGAGAGAAGTTTTGAAAATTTCCTGGGAGTACGAAGTAGAACTACTAAGGTGCAGGTTCTTGTCTTGGAGGTCCAAGTGTAGTTCCTTGCTCATGGTTCTTACTGCCATAGGGAACCATCCTGGAGAGTGAGGTTGTAGTTTGGGTTAATTCTTGGTTGATAATGAGGATTGAGTTATGTGTATTGGGCAATGACGACCTACAACTGTATAGAAGCTTCTTTTCATTCATTTTCCCAAATTTTCACACTGCTTGAGGAGTGGTTGGGAAATGGGCAAAAGGTTTGGGCACTTGATTTTATTATCAAGCTCCTGGTAACAACTGACTTTTCTAGGAACCATAGAATAAAATAGAACTATGATAGTGGTTGCTACCAGTGGAGTTTTGCTGCTCCTGCTGTTTCCTAGCAGATAGGAGAGTGGGTTGTGTCTGAGGAGGAAAGCAGTTAACAGATTGTCTGCCCGCACCCCAGTTTGGACCTAGAATTCAGTGCGATAAGAGGTTGAGTCCTTTTATTTGCCTACACTGTTGGGGAAAAAAAGAGGTTGGAGCTGGGCTCGCAGGCTCAGCCTGTAATCCCGCCCCTTTGGGAGGCTGAGGTGAGTGGATTGCCTGAGTGCGGGTTCGAGACCCTTCTGGGCAACTTGGCGAGACCTCATCTCTACAATAAATCAAAAAAATTAGCCAGGCGTGGTAGCGCGGGCCTGTAGTTCCAGCTACTTGGAAAGCTGAGGCGGAAGGATCACTGGAGCCCAGCAGGTCAAGGCTGCGGTGGCCGGGAGCGGCCACTGCACTCTAGTCTGGGTGACAGAGTGAGACTCCCAAATCAAAAGAAAAAAGAAAAAAAAAGAGGTTGGGTCCTGACCTAGCTTCAGAAAGGGAGAATAGTGTCTGGGTAAGTAGAGCCTGGCTGCTTTGATTTTTCAGGAGGAAAGCTGTGTTTCAGCCACTGTAAGTTTAGCCTGAGTTGTAAATTAATCTGATTTTTTTAATCATTTAAAGAATGAGAGCCCTTCAAGTGAAAAAAATGTATTAGGACTCTACCTCCCAGGCTGGGGCTTCAGGCCTTCAGATTTCAGGGTGCAGGTGATGACACTGTAAAGCGACCAAAGTCTGAACAAAATGATTGCTATTTTGTCTGATGCACCTAGCCTCTCCTAGCCTTGGCTTCCAGAAGAGGGCCCATACTTGTACGGGGCCCAGACCAGGTGACCACCATTTTGCCTCTCTCCCAGGCTTGACCATTATGCCATCATCAAGTTTCCCCTAACCACTGAGTCTGCCATGAAGAAAATAGAAGACAACAACACGCTCGTGTTCATCGTGGATGTTAAAGCCAACAAGCACCAGATAAAACAGGCTGTGAAGAAGCTCTATGACATTGATGTTGCCAAGGTCAACACCCTGATTAGGTGAGTGGGATCCCAAGAGATGGGGAGGAGGCTGGACCAGCAGTAGGAAGCCATAGCTGGGATGGTGGTACACGTCCACCTGGAGACAGAGGCAGGAGGATTGCTTGAGGCCAGGAGTTAAAGGCCTTGACAGACACAGGCACCCCTGCTGTAATTACAGTCCTTTGAACAGAGTGTAGACCTGAGGAAACTGTCCTTCTAGGACTTAATTGCTTATTTTCTGGATCTCTGTATTGGCAGAGGTTACTAAAGAAAAGCAGTTTATGTCTGATTATCTTGGTTTAAGTCTTAAAATGTCCTTTGGTGGTTCCCATAAAGGAAGTTGGCTTTGTTTGTGGCTTCATGGCATTCTTGGTGTTCCCTGGGACAGATGATGAAAAAATCAATAACTGGGGAGGAATGACTTGAACAGAGGCTGAGGTGCTAAGGGAATGTAGGGGTTAGGGGGAGTATTTGGGGGGAGGCATTGAGGACACCAGGGACTAAAGCGTCCTCCATCACACAGGCCTGATGGAGAGAAGAAGGCATATGTTCGACTGGCTCCTGATTATGATGCTTTGGATGTTGCCAACAAAGTAAGCGTCCTTCCTTACAAATTCCTTAACCCTCACCTCCCTAGGTGCGAATGATATGTCTCTTAGCGACCAAAGCCTGACTTTTGCTGATTAATCCTAGATGACTGATTGCACCACTATCTTTAATACACCTTATCCTCATGTTCTGTTTGCTTTTAAATCATGACATTTGGCCGGGGTCAGTGGCTCAGCCTGTAATCCCAGCACTTTGGGAGGCCAAGGCAAGTGGATTGCCTGAGCCCGCAGGTTTGAGACCCACCTGGGCAACTTGGCAAGACCTCATCTCTACAATAAATCAAAAATTAGCTGGGTGTGGTAGCGCGCACCTGTAGTTCCAACTACTTGGAAGGCTGTGGTGGCTGGGAGCGTGCCACTGCACTCCAGTCTGGGAGACAGAGTGAGACTCCAACTCAAATAAATAAATAAATAAATCATGATATTCAAACTTAATCTTCACATTTCAGCTCTAGTAACAGCTCCCTTTTGTTTTTCAGATTGGGATCATTTAAACAGAGTCCAGCTGGCTAATTCTAAATATATATCTTCTCACCATATATATGTCTCTTGTTTTTTTGTCAGTTTCTGATTGGACTGGGGGAGGCCATACAGAGGTGAGGTATACACGAGTACTAACGTAACAGGACCTGGGCAAGACGCACCCTATGATCCCACTGTATTTGTTAGTACTAGAGATGTTTGTGACTAGAGTTAGTTGTCCTAAGAAAACGAGAACTTAACTCCATGGGAGGAGGGGTCAGAGAACAAGAATCTCTAGAAGAACCCCTCCCTTTATCCCTGGAAGAGTTTGAAGAAGAGTTTTCATCAGCATCCATTTCAGGGCAGCACGGATTGGCTGGCTTACTTTCTGGTAGCACCTTGTCCTCCCACACCCATCTAGTCTGTCCAACCGGTCTGTCTGCTTCCCTCACCCCTTGCCCAAGAAAGGACTTTAGAAGAGTGCTTTCATTAGTTTTCAATAGTGTAGGTGTAGTCTCAAGGTGGAGAGGCTGGCCCCAGAGGATTGGAGCAGAGTCCCAGTTCACATGTGAGGCTGTTTCTGTTCTCCTTGGCCATGTTGCAGTCTTCTCCACAAGTCCCAGGCTCTGCCTGTTACTCAGTTAAAAACTTGTCTTTGTGTTGCTGGCTGGGGACACGCTCAGGGCAGAAGTCAGAGTGGAGGAGGCGGGAAAAGTAGCCGAGGATCATCACGTTCAGCATGAGCAGGATACCTAGCAAAAAGGTGCCCAGGGTCCTCTGGCCCATGTAGCGCAAGAAGAAATAAGTGAGGTGGGCCTGAGGAGCCAGGCGGAAGATAAAGTACATGACCAGGTTGACATACTTATTAATGCGGTAGAGGGGATGATCCTGGGTGTTGCTGATTTTCATCATCATGCGTATGTTGAGGAATATGTTGCTGACCTCCACCAGTAGTGTCAGGACACCCCCACCAACAAAGCTGTTCCAAAAGATGCCCGAGAAGAAGGCACCCATGGCCTAGAGAACAAAAAACAGGCATTAGGGAACCCAGATGCCAAGCTTTCTGAAAGTTGGTAGGAGGGTCAGACCACCAGACAATGGAAACTTCCTCCTGGAATAATGCTTGGCAGCAGATAAGGTGCCTTTTAACACTGGCCTGGTGCTGTGGCTCAGCCTGTAATCCCAGCACTTTGAGAGGTTGAGGCGAGAGGACTGCCTGAGCAACTTGGTGAGACCTCTCTACGATAAAGCACACACAAAAAAACTAGCTGGGTGTGGTGGTGTGTGTCTGTAGTTCCAGCTACTTGGAAGGATGAGGCCTAATGACTGCTAAGCCCAGGCTGTGGTAGCTGTGAGCGTGCTACTGCACTCCAGCCTGGGTGGCAAGAGTGAGATTCCAACTCTAAATAAAGAAGTTCAGCACTATTAGATGTTGATGCCCGTTCACAGGTTCTGGCTCCGGCGGCGTTTCCAGTCTAAGGCAGGTGAGACCATGGACTGCTGGCCTCTGAACAAGGGCACAAAGATGGTGCCAATACCTAGCACACAAACAGGTGCAAGCGGGTTAAAAGACACTGCCTCCCAGGTTCAGAAAGGGCTATGACCAGTTTACTAGCACTAGGCCTACACCACAGTCACCTGCTTCTTACCATGGCATGATGGACAAGGTATTCCCAAGAAGCTCGCGCCTGACGACTAACGAGGATATCCACTGTGTCGTGGATGAAATACCCTAGTAGGAAGATAGGGAAAGAGGTCATGAAGAACTGAACAAGTTTTCTCCCCGCCCCTCAGCTTAACTCCCGGCTCCTGGGCAAGATCTACCTGCGGAGAAGCAAACAAGCAAATAGCCAGAGAGCGACCACGCCGTCTCAATCTCCACCAGCATCTCAGGGGTCTGCCATACACTGGAAGGGAGGGAAGAGGGGAAGCTCTTGGTTTCGGTACCCCAAGGACCCTCACCTTCCCCATAACCCTTGCCAGTCCCGGGGAAGCCTGGGCTCGCGCCACTGGCTGCCTAGGGAGCAAGGAGGGGCTTGGCGGAAACCCAGGTGCCTCCAGTTTCCCAGGTGAGATACCCCCTCCCCTGAGACACCGCGGCTTCTGGTTGGACAGGACGCCAAACAAGGAACCAAATGAGACTGCATGGTATCGACTCTCCGGTGAGTGATGAGGGCGGCAACCCAGGACAGCCCCAGCGCCGCGAGCCGTGTCCCCAGCCACCTCACTCCCAGTCGCTCACTCACCACAGCAGCGCCCAGATTCCCGACACAAGGGAGTGAGCGAAAGAGACCTGCAGGTTGTGCCAGCGCCAGGTGCGCAGGGGGTCGGCGCGCACGTGCGCGGGCAGGGGCAAGCGACAGAGCGCGCGCCGGAGCGCCGGAAAGGTCAGCGTGGCGACCAGGAGCAGCGGCAGGGCGGGGTGCAGCAGTGAGGGCATGCTGGCCCTCCCTGCTGTCTGCCCGTCCACCCCCTAGGCCGCCTCCTCGGGCTGTTCTGGGGACCGGGCTCCCTCGGGCCGGTGAGCCCCGGCCACCTCTCCAGCCGACCGCCAGCCCCACGGTTTCGCGAAACCCTCTCGGCCCCGATGCTCCTCCCCGCCCTCCCC